AAGGTAAATAACTTGAGCACACAAAATAAACAAATATTGAGACTAGGGAGAGTGTTGGGTTTCACCATAGAGTGAGAACCCTCCAAAAATAGGCGGATGCCACTTTGGCGAGGAGAGCAGACGGTATTCTTCAGTAAAAGGCGAAAGAATAGTTCGCTTTGTGCTCACCTCATGGCTGCGTGATTTTCCACTGAAAGAGAGTGAAGTCTATTTATAGTAAATGTTCCACTATCAAACCCACTCCCTTTTCCGATGTGGGATACTGAACTTGACAAAGATAATTTAGTGTATGAATGTCGTTTTACTTACAGTTACTTGGTTTATTGAATGCAGTCTAAACATTACTAAGTTACATTTCTTCGATGAAATAAATTATTCACGTTCTATGTATGATAGATAATTATTGAAATGAGGATAAAATTAACAACTATAATCAAGAGGAACCAACGGCTTTAAGAAAGTTATCAAAAGGAGTAGTTGAAGGTGGATTGAAGAAAGGAGGATGGTTCTGATACTCTGTTACGCACATATTCGAAGGCGAAACCAATCCCGTCATCTCCCACGAGTTCCTCTGATCCACAAACGGATTCCCACCAGAAGGCAAAGAAGCACCTGCTGCTTCCTTTGTTTGGTTGCTGAATTTGTTGCTTTTTGCAGACATGAAAGACATCTTCTCTTGTTTTCCCATGAGAAGAGCTTCGCAATGTCCTGCCATTTCCGTGTATGTCATGTCTGGTGGATCAGACACTGAGTATCTTCCTAATTGTGCTGTTGTCTGAGACACCTGCATTTGCATTTTTTTCAATCTCTCCATCAGATCACTTATCTACTCAGCCTTATAAACAAAAGAAAGAAAAAGTAACTCACTGCATTTAGAAGTTCATCGATGCTTAAGAGAAACGCGGTTTTGGCATTTGGTTGTGTGTCAAGACTAAGCTGATCTTCTGGAGGACTTGGCACTGCATCATTCTCTGGTATAAGCAACTGAGTTTCACCCTGCAAGAAACAGAGATTAATATTCAGAATAATAATAACTTCGAATTTCAAAAACCGAGCATAAAAGGTGGATGTTACATACCATTTCTCGTGGTTTGTTGTTTTTTTCTTCAGAACGGTAAACTTGAGCTGGAGATTCCATCAACTGCGTTCCAACTGGACAACCGTCGATAGGTATGAAATCTGAAACTAGTTGCTCCTTTATAGACGACGAATCTTGCTGCACGTTAAAAGCATCAACAACACAGTAAGTAAGAAATTGAGGTACTTTTTGTACATAATTAAAGAAGTGATCAATATTTTGCAAATTACATCTGATAGTTTCCCCAGAAACTTCATTATCATGGCTGTGTAATGTTCCCGAGGTTGTTGATGTGTAGTTTCTTCTATAGCAACAAGTGAATTTAAAGCGTCATCATCGTCTTCTTTCGATCCATAACTCTTTTCTGGTTGATGTGCCTGCCCATAAAAAACTGCATCTAGCTTGCAATCTTCCACCAACTGAAGAAATGGATCTATCTGATACGCAAGAAAAATGTTTTATCAAGATGTATATATATAATATAACAGAGGCAGAGCAAGAACATAGTAGGAAAACTTTTGACTACCGTTTTCTCCTGTAGTGCGGTTTTCGCGCTAATAACAAGAGGAGGGATATTGAAGGCTCTTGCTGAGAAAATTATCATGGATGTAGCCAGAGTGAAGAGGGATCTGCGCCGTGATGGCTGCAATGGTCCTAAAATTGGCAACAGAAATTAATTTGTGAAAAAAAAGAAGCCAAAACACTTCTCATGAGATCAGAAACATAACAGGACTATACCTTCAAGAGAAAGATTCCGCAAAGAGAATGCTAGCTGAAAACTCCAGACCAAGACCTCATTGCTTGAGTGCTACATAAATTAATCAAACCCTGGTAGGTTACTATATGAGAATAGGAAATGTCTACTGTATAATATGAATCCAGAGTAGCTTGATAGTATAACTTTTTTACTACTGTACCTTAGTCCGTCCAAATAGGAGCACTAAGCTAAATGTATTAGCAATGGCTTCATAATTTTGTGGCATGTTGTGTGGAGACAAGGACTGCACCCAGATCGATGAAAGCAAAAGGCAAATCTGGTGGCTGCTTAATCTTAAAGGTATCACCTGAAAGTTTCAGTTAGAAGGCATTGAGACCAAATATAACAAAATGATAAATCTCAGGAATCTGAAGATTCATTAGTTATGCCAAAATGTAAAAACATACTGGTTTCTCTGGTGAACCTCCCGAAGAATTTTGATCTGATACCATTGATGACGGGTTCCTTTTCACACTCTGGGTTCGACTGTAACTTGACTTTAACCGGTTCAACACTGAACTAGTGTTTTGCTTTGGCTCCTCGTCGTCGAAACTCTCAGTAGGTTGATGCTCCTTTATGCTATAACCTCTTGAGAATTTTGACTTTGACCTGTTAAGTGTTGAAACTCTCTCCATCTTTGCAGTATCATCCACAGCATTATCCGACTCCAAATTCAGTTTTCTGAAGAGTGCAGCTGAAGAAGAAAATACAGACACAGTTCTTGACAATGTCCTCTGCATATCAGCAGGCCTTCTAGACTTGGGAACTGAATTTGGACAAACAGAAGATGGGACCAGAACAACAGAAAATATACGGTGAGCCCCCATCCTCGATTCGTGGTCAGCACAGACCATAGCTTGAAGCAATTGATGGAAAAGTGCATCTGGAAAAGCCTGTGAAAAGATTGCATGTTATCTTCTTGTTCCGTAGCAGTTCTGGTTAGAGATTGGGGGAAAAACAGAGATATCGAAACTTAAAGGTTTTAGGCATCTTGCCTTGTTTTCATATGATATATTTGGTATAGCTGCTATAATTTGTGCTGTGCGAAAAACAGCCGCGATTAGTGTTCTCGCCATGACTGTAATATTTGACATGCTTTCCAACATGACAGCCATTATGTCAAGAATAGGACCTGCATCTCCTACCTACATGTCAAGAGACTATCATCAGCTATTTATTCATCTTATACAAGTTCAAATTGTATAGCTTTTAGAGAGAGCTTCTTGGGGTAAATAAGGATTACCTTCTGGGATAATTGCACGAGGCATTGTTCAACCGCAGCTTCGAATTTTATATTATACTGAATCGTCTCATTCCCCAGATTAGAATCATCTAGTGAACAATGGATGCTCTTCCTCAGATGCCTAATCATATCACTCAGTGCACCAATGATTGCCACAGATGGAAGAACTTTAGTCTGCTGGGCAAGTGCAGTAGCAACATAAACAATGTCAAGTTGCATTCTAGGCTTCTTTAGAACATTCTTGTGATCAAGATGCTTGATCAGGATGGACAACAGGAAGTGCGTGTTTTGCCCTGCCATCAATTACTCACACAATTAGTAGTCTAGTTACAACCTGACTACCAATTCCAAAAACCAGTAAACCAAATGGAGACAATACGAACCGGATCGTTCTATCAACAACTGTACGTCTTGCAAAACATATAAAGCAAGACCGTGCTCGGTGGACCAAACTTCATTAAAATCAAAGTAGCGGAAGAGTGACTCGAGGACACGCCGCACAGTTGTTGCTTCTTTTGCTAACTTGGCCAGATTATGTAGACATACCCTCGACCAAAACTTGGGGCTTTTAGCATCCTCCCTGCACCATCTTTAATCAGAAAAAGAGAACCGGGAATATATATTCAATAAAGCAAGCATGCCAAACTAAAGCTTGAGTAGAAGGGTTTACACAGATACAATTGCCTTGCCTCTGTCATCCACGATTTTTGTCCAAGAAGCAATCCTTGTTTCAGCTTCTGCGGGAGAAAGTTCTTTATCAATAGAAGCAACCTTGTTGTCTTGATTTCCGGAAGCAGTGGAAGATTGACTGAGGCCTCCATAATTTTCTAAAACAACAGAGACAACCTGAAAGTAAGAGAAACAAAGAAATGGGACAATTATATAACATGCTAAACATCCATGCAAAATAGATTTCGTATACACTAAGCAAACTTACATTATCAAATTCTACTGAGATATGTGAAAATTCTCCCATGAACCAAACCTGTGGAAAATCCAGTGATTGTATTAAAGTCTCAATCATAAGACATGTCATATTCAGTGTAAGTAACAAACTGAGTATGTGAGTACCAAGGATGAGAGAGCTTGGAGCCCAGCAGCACACAAATTTGTTGTCCTTTCTTCTTCTCCTAATTCGTGAGCTAAAGGACAGATTTTTGGGATCAACCCATCTAAGTTAAACATGTAGGTACCCTCTGCCTGGAAAATATCAGTAACAGACTTTATCAGAGTTTGAATCTCCAAAAAAATCTGATTTTCTCTACTACAAGATAAAGTAAAATTGGCAAGAGTTATCCACCTGACTGGTAACAAAATCATAGAGAGCTTCACAGCCTAAAATGCGCATCTCATCATGCCTAGTTTGATCAAGAAGAATATGAATGAGACCAAGGTAGCTACTAGCAAACAAGGACCTGTAAAGAACATAATTTCATTAGTAAAAGCCAAAAAAATATCATAACCAATGCGTTGAACAGTAAAAACAGAGCATACATTTGTTCATTACATGCAACCAAGAGCTTCTTGTAGATACACATTACAATCTTCACAGAGTGAAACTGCTCCATTCTCAATTCCCTGTAACACCTTTGTTCAAGAGAGGTTGTAATCTGAAAACAGTATATGGAATCATTCCTTTTAAAAACTAAATCCCAATATCAAAGATCATCAAGCTTGAGGAAGAATTCAACCTTAGGGATACGAAGAGGGTTTTTCGCAGCATATTCACACAATTTACCGATTTTTCGATCATTAGGTTGCTCATCCTATACGTAGGACGAACCAAAATATCATCAATATCATATCTTAAAAACAGAGATTCATTCACAGAGTCATTACGTAGAACACTTGATGTGCATTAAGAAAAAAAAAGCTTCAAAGAGAGAGAGCAAACCAAGGATCGAGGGAATATATCAGCGAGGAGATGCTTATATCTCTTGACGGGATGTCTCGATCTAGCTCTTAAAGCCGGACAAAAGCAACACAAGCTTTCGCAGACAGGGAAAACGGTCCTAGAAACGACCCCCATTATCTCTCTATTTTCCTCAACGAAGAAGATCAAAACGAGATTTACAGACACATGATTGGTTCGTAAATGGTGAAATGTATGGATCAGACATTAGCCAAAGAGTGGGATCGAATTCGAGACAACAAAGGATCAAAACAGAGATCCATCAGAGAAAGAGAATTTGAGGGAGAAGACGAAGAAGCTGTTTCGTAAAAGAGGAGATAATTGCGGAACTTTCAAAATTAAAAATATTTGAAAGCTCTTTGGATTTTACTATTTTTGGACATTAATGATTTGAATATTAAACAAAGAGAAGATACTTAAAATCAAAATGAAATAATAAAATAATTCGACGTTTTTGTTAGTGAGACGCCTGAACTTGTCATGTTAAGTTTCTTCTAAACATACCAAATTGATGCAGAGAAATGTACATATGTATGTTGAATAATGGT